ATGCTAGATGAAAAGCAGACATATTGGCCATTTGCTATATGATTTCATTTACATGAAGTGCCCAGTATAAGGCAATGTGATAGCTCAGAGAGAGGAAAATAAGGAATGACTGCTAATAAGTTACAGTAGCCATCATCGATGAGGAGTATGTGTAGTTTGATAGGGGTGATGGCTGCACAACTAACTTTGCCTATATTAAAAGTCACTGTTTTGTAGACTTTAAAACATGCCTTATGGGGCCAGAGAGATAGCTCAGTGGATAAAGACACCTGCCACCAAGCCTTACTAACTGAGTTCAATCCCGGGAAATCACATGGAAGAAAGAAAACACCAACTCCCACAAGTTATATTCTGCCCTCCAGGTGCCCAGTAAATAAGTTAAAAAATAAACTGTACATTATAAAAAATAATTTAAATGATGCATCATATACTATAAAATTATAGTTCAATGAAAAACTTAAAGAGGAAAATAAATTACAGTAACATCAGTAGGAAGCAGCCATAGTCCCAATCACAAACAGAATATGCCCTGACATTGAATATGTAAGACAAAATAATTCCATCAGTTTGTTTGGATGGGAAGAAAGGTCTTCAAAGAGAATCAATGGCCAAAGAAACAAACTGAGCTATTAAGCTATATGTAGTTAAAAGAGGCTTAGGTCTACCCCTCCAAACCATAGAAAAATAACAACAACAACAATAACAACAACAAAAATCATAAAACCAAAGATGGTAATTTCTAAAGAGAATAATAAGCAGTTCTAAAAGTTCTGCAGCAAACTGATTCCTTACAAAACTCAAAGTAAGATTAAACAATGCAGAAAGGAGTGACTTCATAAACGTTACTAGATTCATCAGAACCACGTCAAACCAAATTCACTCCAATTTCTCCTTTAAGAGAGTGACTTCTAAGAACCATGCAGGCTCATTACAGCCCAATTACACTGTAGCATTTGCCAAAATCTTTCAGAATATTCACACAAACTAAAGGTCATAGGGGCCTGACAACAGACTGAACTAATAGCCAGTGAGTAACCATAATGGTGTTAATGGAGGCAATCAGGTTGAGCTGCATACTTCAGAGTAATCTACTCTGTCACTTAAGTTTTTGTCAACAATCTGAACAAAGATCTACAATGTTGTCTACTAAATACAAACATACAAAATGCCTAAGTCAAAATGAACATGAAATTTAAATGCCTTGTATTTAAACTCAAGAAAAAAAAAAGTATCACACAAAAAAGGAAGACATAGTTTAACATAGTTTATGTAGAAAACACATGGACAAGTTCATACTACAAGCACATATTAAACGCAGTCACAGCAGTTGAAACTGTTATGATTAACAGTTTAAAATGTAATAGTGGGCCTCAGTGCACACTGTAATCCCAATACTTGGGAGGCTGAGGATTGTCATGAGTTCAAACCAGTCTGGGCTATGTAATAAGATCCAGTCTAGCCTGGGGTATAGTATAAGACCATCTCTAAACTAATTAATCAGTGAATTCATAGTATTTACTGTTTTAAAAGTAGCTTTTAGTCGGGCCTTCCTGGCTCACACCTTTAATCCCAGCACTCAGGAGGCAGAGGCAGGAGGAAGGAGGATCTCTGTGAGTTTGAGGCCAGCCTGGTCTATAGTGCGAGTTCCAGGACATGCTCTAAAACAATTCAGAGAAACCCTGTCTCGAAAAACCAAAAAAAAAAAAAAGGGGGGGGGTGTTATACAATTCTGGATATGTCTAAAAATGAGCACCTAGAGTAAGAAAAAAATTAAAAATAAGCCAGGTGTGCTGGCTTGTGCCTTTGATCCCAACACCTGGTAAACAGAGGCAGGCAGATCTCTGAATATGAGGCCAGTCTAGCCTACAAGTTTCAGGACGTGGTATGACCCCGTTTCAATAATAATACTCTACTACTACTACTACTATTAACAGAGAATTATATTATCTAAGAAATTATTCAATGAACTGAAATTTATTCTGAAGATAAAATGTCTAGCATATGGTAGGAAAAGGGTGAGGTACACACTAGTAGTCTTCAAATACATAAAGAGGCAGTTTATGTAGGAAAGCTGATGCTGTATTTGGAAGAAAATACAAAACACAATGGAAATATCACAGGCTTTAATGTATAAAGAGCTGGATTCTAATCTTAGTGTCATCATTTACTGTGTGTGTTATTTGATGCCAAGATAAAGTTTCCTTACACAGAAACTGATACCGACCTTACCTTATAAATATATAAACATTAAATCTAATTAGATGCAAAAAACTTTTGTAATTCCTTCCCCCCAGTATCACCAAATGCACTAACTATGACACACAATCATCTTAATTCTTTTGCTGAGACTTTTCTGAATAATGAGAGCAAAGTTGTTCAGACTGAGAGTTGTAATAACCCATTAGTGAATGCAGAAGTCAGCCTAGTAGTAACTAGCATATTTCCCCCTAATGAAATACAAAAAATAAATAAAATAAAATAAAATAAATACAAAAAAATTAGAAACTATTAAAGTGGTGTACCACTCATAGTAAAAGTAGATACTGTTATTCATATACTGGTGTGTACTGTACTGTGTACTTGGTATCACAAAGCTGTCTACCACTACCGCCTAAGTGTTCTGAGACAGTTCTCCTTGAGAACTCAACTAAGTTTAGGAAACAACCACAGTCCCTAGAGATTTATTATGGCCAGTATACATCTGCATCTCAGAGAAGCCCAGCATGAAAGAGACACGTTATTTTTTATAAACCCAGTTTCCCTTATATTAATTTTACTCCAGAATCTGATTATTTTTCCATATATGCCCACTCCTACCTTCTGCATTTTGTGGCATATATGCTAGGGGCAAATATTTCTCCAGATGAAAATGAAGTGCAATAGAAGCAAGCTTTGGAAGGTAGTTTCTGACTTGCCAGGAAAGCAAACTTTACTATGACTTCCTGCTACTGACAGCCACGCCCAAGGCATTTTGATTTCTTTATCTAACTCTCCCCTGACCTATCACAGCTAAGAGACTAAGATCAAACCCAGGGCCAGATTTTAATTTCAGATTTAATTTAATTTCAAGAAGAAGCATAAGATATCTATAGCACCAAGACACAAAAACAGATAAAAACAATAAGTAGGAATCAGGTAGTCAAAACAAACTCCTGGCATGCTTACCTATGAATATTTGCATATTGTACCTTGACAAACACACACTCAGAACCAAAGTAGCTAAAGACTTGCTTGGTGTTTGGAGGAGTCACTGTGCTCCACCAATACATCTACAATGGGCTGACAAGTGCAGCCAATTCTCATTATCATGAATGAGCACTGATCTCATCATTACTTGGAAAAGATGGATGATACTTGGATGACTCTGGGTTCTTTGAAAGTACATACATACACAGGAGTCCTTCAGAGGGCAATAAGTCTCACTAACATGAAGCTGAAGCTGTAGCTACAAAGTTCTATAATACTTGGTATCACTTGGCAATAATAACATAAGAAAGCATACCTCTGTCATTCATATCATCCTAAGTATGAGTTCTGAACACTTCTTGTAGTTTTCAGGACATAAAATGCAGTTCCTAGTTCCCACTCTCAGATTTCTACCTTATCTGAAAGTTTGCCCCATTATCAGGACCAATGCTTGCTACCTAGCCTTTGCTCACTGTCAGCATTCATGTTCTCTATCTCTCCTCAGACCTCACTGCATGCATCCTATCTTGTTTAACTGCTGAGACTTAGCTCTCAACCGCCTCATACATGGGCATCAGCACTTAAGAATCTTTAGACTCTCCCACAGCAGGGATCACATGGAAACTCACTAAATAGTGGTGACTTAAATAGCCAGGCTTAAGGGTGATAGTACCCAGTCCTGTAGAACTGACTGTATGCCAAGCCCAGTGCTAAAAGTACACATGGATTATCTAATTTAATCGTCGGAACTCTACAGATGTTAAGAATGGTAATTTTCCTGAGGACAAGAGTGAAACTCAAAGTAACTTCTTCAAGGTCATAAACCTTTAAAGTAGCAAATTTAGGGCCTGCATTCAGAGCAAGCTTACAATAAATACTTCAAAGTTCTAGGCCTGGACACCATTCTGTTAGGGAGTCCAACTTCACAGAAGTTTTAATGTCAACAGCAAAACATTCTAGCTAAAAGTTAAGACTTCAAAAAGATGAATTATGAGGACAATTTGCCGCAGATGTTTTTAAGTCTAATAAAAGCCTCTCATTCCCTTTCTATTTAATGAAAGTGTGACTTTAAGGTGTGGGGTCACAAGCTCATCAAGAGATGCCGTATGACAATTACAGCTTTGGTCTGGATTTTAAAATAGGGCTTTTTTTTCTGCCTCTAGGATGGCATGGAAATGATGGTCAGCTTTGGTAACTACCGCCTCACAGCTCCGAAATTGTTAGACCCAATTCTTGTTTTCAAAAATATAAAATTCAGGGTTCTTGTTCCACAACCGACTTAACACAAAGCAGTCCGATCCCTTCTCTGCCCTCTCTCTGTACACAAAGCAAGCTTTACCCCCACTACCCAAAGGGGAGTGTCGCTCACCCAGCCTCCCCCACAGACATACCCATCTCACTCCAGTCCAAAACACTGCTACTCAGTACGTCCTAGCACCTGGTGCTACCTCATGAAGCAGACCCCCTCCCTATATCCGAAATGCCCAGACCACCACCCGAAAGCCAGTCTTTCACACAAAGCAGGATCCCTTTCTACGAAGCAGCTGGCTACCTCTGAGTGCTCCGAGCGTGCGGGCCCACGGGAGCTGTGCCAAGCCACAGATCCCATCTGGGTCCACTCGGGTCCAGCACCCCAAGATTCCACGCACAAACCAGAGAAGAACTAGCTACAGATCCGTTCCCAAGGCTCGAACCAACTCTAGGCGACCTGCCCGCAGCAGAAGCAGGCAAAGCCAGCATCCCCACCACCGTCGAGCCCACCCTGCTTCCCCGGGGACCCCACCCCACACCCCGGCCCGGCACCCCGCACTCACCAGCTCTCCTCCTCTTCCTCCCAGCCTGACAGTCGCTCCAGCTCGTCGGGCCGCAGAGGCTCTACCTCGTCCAGCAAGCCGCCCTCGCCCGCCGCCAGCAAAGAGGTGGTGTCCCGCAGGTCCTCGCTGCTGGTCCGCCGCGGGCCTGAGCCCGCCACGCCGCCCACCTTGGCTCCCAGGCCCAGCGGGAAGCCCCGAGGGGACGCCGCGCCCGAGCAAGGGGTGGACACGCCGGCCCGAGCCGGGCTGCCGGGCCCGAGGAGGCCTGCGCCCTGCACGGCTCCTGAGCGGCTCCTCAGCTGCTCGTTCTGCTTCTCCAGCTTCTTCACCAGCTCCTGCAGCTTCCGCACCTCCTGGTCCGCGTTCACATTGGAGTTAACGTCCTCCATGCCGGCCGCGCCGCCCGCTCCGACTCCCAAGCCGCCGGGGAAGCGCCGGGGGATGGGGTGGGGGGTAGACAGGCGTTACCGCCGCCGCTCACGCTAGCCGAGGCGCCCGCATAGAGCAGGGCCAGGCCCCACCGCCAGGGTCCCCCCGGCTCGGGTTGCGAAGCACCGCTGGCCCCAGCCGAGCCGCCTCATCTGCGCCGGCTCCGCGACTGGGGGAGGCGGCGCCAATATCCGGCCTCGGCCGCCATCTTCCCTCCGTCCCTCCGCCCCCTGCCGGCCAGCCCGGTCGGTGACCTCAGAGCGTCGGGGGAGGACGTGGCCGCCCGCGGGCTGAAAGGACTAGGCGCTGGGCTCGCGGGGGGCGGGGCGGGGCGGGGCCCGCAAGAGTCACGGGGTCTGGAGGGGCGGGGTCACTGTGGGGGCGGGGTCCCGGCCGGAAGGGGTGTGGTGGGCGACGGCCGGCGAAGGTGGGCAGGGCCGGGCTGGCTCTGGGGTGCTGCCCTGGCCGCCGGCCCTACCGGACCTAGGCTCGTGGCGGGCGGGACTGAGACTCTGAACCTGGCTCGGGCTCTGCCCCTCCCGAGGCGTCGGTGGTGATGGTGAGGGGCCGGTGCTGAGGCTCCGCCTGGCCGCGTGCACAGTTCGCTTGGTTTGTTTGGCCTTACTGGGTTGGTTTTTACTTGAAACCCGAGACTGTCGTAGCTTGCGGCGCAGCCCCGGAGACCTCGATTCCCAAATGGTTAAGAGCGCGAAGGTCAAAATAATAACCGTGATTTGTTGAGTGCTTACTACCGGCCAGACACTGCGCTGAACACTTTTAAAGGAATTATGTCATCCGTTAAAACACGTGGAGGAGGTTGTTTTGTTTTTTGTTTGTTTGTTTTGTTTTAAGGTTTACAGCGCAGAAACAGAAGTGGGCGATGGAAAACACATCAGTATTCATCTTACAACGTTAATTAATGCGTGTTGTATTCCTCCGATCTTACCTCTGCCCCCAAAGACTTTATAATAATAGTATGTCTTGACTTTGTTTAGTTTCAAGGCAAGGTTTCCCTGCGTATCCCTGGCTGGCATGCCTCTGCCTCCAGTGCTGGAGATTAAAGGCATATGCCCCCTTGACTTTTTGGTTTTGTTTTTAATTGTGCCGGAAAAGTACTTAAGCACGGGGTTGACAGATAACAGAGAACGTGGGAGGGACATAGGTAATTGTTACTTCGGCAGCAACTGCAAACAATTTAAATGTTTTGCTTCCATCACATTGGCAGTTGTCAATTGTAAGTTACATGACTTGCCTATACAGAGTAGTTAAATGCACCTAATTTCTCAACTACTTGGCTGGTGTTTGCAGTCTGTTCTTGCCTCCTCCACCTTAAGCTAACACTGAACCAATCTTACACCTGGGTGTGGACTCATGAGAACTTAAACACTTCTGCCTTTCTGTACTGTATTTTCCTTGCCTAGAATATCCTACCTACTACATTTGATTTCTTTTTGTAAAAAACCTATGCCTACCCCAACCACGGAAATAGTTACTGTTTGCTCTGACATCACCACCTCAATAGTTGGCTACAGATATTTGTATTTTTTAAGTGCATTTTTTTCTAGCAAGTCTTCGTTTTGACCCATACAGCTCATTACAATGAACCATTTCATTTCCCTTGCCATGTGCAGTACAGTGTTTGACAAAATGGATATTCAATGTGTTTTGCTATAATTAAATGGGATGTTAAGTTTTGACAGGTCAAGTCCCAGATAGCAAAATAAGTAATTTGAGTATGCTAAAGTTTGCTGTCTAGTACAAGCATGTTCCTAGCTATTCAGACTTATTTAAAAAGATGCCTTTGTTTGCTAACAGAATTTTGTGAAACAAAATATCTGTATGACACATATTAAATGCTATGGTTGTCTGTGGCACAGCTGAACTCATTGCTGAAGGGTACACCACTGAGACCACATCACATATCACAGTAATTCATTTATATTAATGAAGTCTAACTAGCCAGTGTCTAAAGAATGCTTTAAATGTATTTCTTGAAAAGTTTAGTTAACATGAAGTTATCATCAGTGTTCTTGAGAGGGAGGAGGGCCTGATGTATGATCTGTGGACCAGGAGGTCTGCTGGCAGGTTCTCCTTGTACCATGAATGTGATCCTTGAACGTTATTTCTCTCCCTTTAATCTGGGCCTTATTTTTTGTGAGAATGCGTGAACTGAGTGATTCTAATATTTAATCTATTACCAAGAAGTAAAGGATTCTAGTGAATCATCATGATTATAAATTATAAGTGTGAATATTCATAGATGATATATTTAGATTTTAAATCCACTTCCCTTACTACACCTTGGTTTTTAATTTAGTAACTAGTAAGTGTATAGTATATGGCAGGCACTACTCAGGCACTTGATGGTTAATAGGCTTCGTTTGTTCAAGGCAGCATCTCATGTAGATCCAGCAAGCCTAGAACTCACTAGGAGTCTAGAATGAGCTTGAACTCCCACCCCTTCTGACTCTACCTATAATAAACCTTTTGTATGCCAAAAACTGAAGTTAGCTGGGTATAGTGGTGCATGTCCTTAATGCTAGATTCTAGAGGCAGAAACAGGAGGATCTCTGAGTTTGAGGCCAACCTGTTCTACATAACAAGTTCCAAGACAGCCAGAACTACATAAAGAGACCTTGTATCAAAACAACAAAACTGAAGTTATGGTTCATACAAGTATTTAACACCACACACAGAATCAAATCTGTTTGCCCTATACTACACTATTACAGTAAAAGCTCTTTTTTATGTTTAAGCCAAAAACTGTGATGATGACTACTAGTCATGTTCATTCACCAAATCCATTCCTTAAGCAGACCCAACTGCCTTGAATTCAACCGCCCAGCTGTTGGAATGTCAGGACTCTATTTCAAGTTGCCCTTGTTCTCCCCTCTGGTTTCCGCCCTTCTCTCTTGATGGGCACATCCCCTTTGCTATTGATAGCCTGATGGATACAGTAACCAGAAGATCCTTCCTGTAAGTCAAGTCACTATCAGAAGCCTCCCCAGAAGTTGCTTCCCAACTTACTCAACTCCCAAGTCCCTTTGACCCACTTGGCTTTGGATAGTTGATTCTGAAAGTGTAGCTCCTGGACCACCACTCTTAAGTCCCTCTTTCTGCTAACCTCACTAACCTTCTAGACTGTTTTCAAAAACAGCCAAACACATTTCTACTGTCAGGACTTTGTACTGGCTGCAGACTTGTCTAGTTAGGATCTTTGGATCATCCAGAAGGTCACTCGTGGTTTAGTCTGCCCAAATGTCACCTAGGTTTACTGTCTTCATTATTGCTACCTCACAAAATAGCATTTCTGTCATTGTTGATCTTCTTGGGCTCCTCCTCCCCTTATCAGATACATTTTTGTTGTTATATCCCCAGTAGAACTGCAGAAATTCCCCCACTACATCCCCAGTCTGTAAAACAGTATCTGGTATGTACTAAGTTCCCAGTAAATATTTGTCAAATGAATATATGTGGGTCAGGTGAAGCCTCCTAAAATAGGATGTCAGATAGATGTGTTGGTTATATCTTGAATCATCAAACTAGAAATTCCTAATTGTTTTGAACAGTTGGTTTTTAATCTACATTTTTCTTCTTCCAAAAGAACTGCATGTCATACCACATAAAGCACCTTTAAAACTAGGTCATAGTCCATGTCCTGAGAGCCAGCAGCCCTGCAGAATTGCTGAGGGTAGCCTTGGGTTCTGCCTGAAGTGGGAGATAAGTGTATTTTCTTTCCATCTGAGACATTGCCACAGCCTTCCTCTTTCAGGTTACTTACAACACTCTTCTCGGGTGACTCAGAAGTTAGTGTTAGTCTAAGGTCACTTTTTAAATAAAGACAGGATCTCAGGTTCCCCCAGACTAGTCTGGAATTTGCTATGTAGCTGTGGATAGCCTTGAGCTCCTAATCCTCCCAGCTTTAATTACAGGTGTTCAGTACCATTCCCAGTTTTCTGTGGTGTTGGGGATGGAGCCCAGGGCTTCACATCCCTTCTAGGTAAGCACTCTGCAGACTTAGCTGCATCCCCAGCCAAAACCAAACAAACATTGATCAAAGTAGATAGGAGGAGAGCTAGTAGGTGTCTGACAAGGGCAACACAACAATCCCAACTAGCTTTTCAGGCGCCCCCTCCCATGAGAAGCTCACTTTGTTGCTGAATGAAGGAGCTGCTGTTTTCTGAGCAGGTGTGGTCTTTTCTACGGCTTGCTCCTACTTGCATATTTGCCCCACTGAAAGCCCTGACAAAGTGGAAATCATTACAAACCACTGCAAGTATGTTGAGGGAAAAGCATGACTCAGTGGCTTAAAGGCATTTAGCAGTCCTGAATCAAGGGTTGTGGTAGGGGGCACATACCCAAAAGTAATTCTGAGACTGCTTTGCACTTACAGGAATATCTGTGTGTATTTAAAAAAAAAAAAAAAAAAAAAAAAAAAACTGCTCAGAGAGGTAGAGGCAAGTGAGTTCAAGGCCAGCCAGGACTACACAGTAAGATCCTGTCTCAAAATAAATAAAAAAAATAAGTAAATAATTATTTTTAAAAGCCTTTTGAAATCCTTTGGCCTAGCCTGCACTAGCCAGGGTTTCTACTCTATCTGCATTGCACATACTTGGTCAGTCATTTCCTGCTGTCTCTGTCCCTCACCAGTGTCTTTCCTCCAGATGTGCCTGACTTTGGTCTTCCTGGGGCCTCTTAGGGAAAATGAATGAAACCAACCTTATGCCTATCCATCCCCTTTTAGCAGCAAGTGGAAAAATAAATTGTCACATAGCAGTATTTCCTCCTCTGTTTAGGTAGTAGTATTTCAGCAGGGCAGTGAGTTTGAAAAGTACAGTCTGAACTAAATATCCTAGATGTCCTAAAGAACTAAGAAGACGAGAGAAACTTGCCAGGAGTTATGTGAATCTCCAAGGACAAGGTGAATCCCAGCAACCTAATTTACAATTTAAAATATAAATCTGGACTTTGTTTTAGGGATGTGATGAATTCATTGTAAATGAAGAAACACACAGAGAG